AGGTGTTTGCTGCAGCGTCCAGGTCTGGTCCTGAGTCTGCCCCCTGCTCGTGTCGCCTCCTGTCTCACGAGACTCTCCTCTGGCACCACCGCCTTGGCCACCCCTCCCTGCTTCGTCTCCGGAGCATGGCCTCCCGTGTCCTTGTCTCTGGTCTTCCCCGGTCCCTCCCTCCCCTTCCTCCGGGGCCAGGCCCTACCTGCGTCCCCTGTGTCGAGGGACGGCAGCGGGCTACCCCTCACTCCTCCCAGTTTCCTCCGACAGAGGCCCCGCTGCAGACGCTTCACATGGACGTGTGGGGCCCGGCCCGTGTCCGTGGACAGGGTCACGAGCGCTACTTCCTGCTGGTGGTTGACGACTACTCGCGTTACACCACAGTCTTCCCCTTGCGCAGCAAGGGTGATGTCACTGAGGTGTTGATCGACTGGATCCGCGCAGCTCGTCTCCAGCTCAGGCGGAGCTTTGGCTCGGACTTTCCTGTTCTGCGTCTGCACTCTGACAGAGGCGGAGAGTTCTCCTCTGGCCTTCTGCGAGCCTACTGTCGTGCACGAGGCATCCGCCAGACCTTCACGCTTCCGGACTCTCCACAGCAAAATGGGATTGCTGAGCGCCGCATTGGCATGGTCATGGACGTCGCCCGTACGTCCATGATGCATGCGGCTGCCCCCCATTTTCTGTGGCCGTTTGCGGTTCGGTACGCGGCGCATCAGATCAACCTTCAGCCCAGGGTCTCCATGCCGGAGACCTCCCCAGCTTTGCTGTGGACGGGGAAGGTTGGCGATGCGTCTGCGTTCCGTGTCTGGGGATCTCGGGCGTTTGTCCGCGACTTGTCTGCGGACAAGCTGTCCCCTCGTGCTGCTCCTTGCGTCTTCCTGGGTTTCCCCCCTGACGCCCCAGGGTGGCAGTTCTACCACCCCACCTCTCGCCGTGTTCTGTCCTCCCAGGACGTCACGTTCGACGAGTCGGTCCCCTACTACCGCCTCTTCCCCTACCGCACTCCGTCCCTCCCCCCGCCACCGCTCTTCCTTGTACCAGGTCCCCCCCCGGTAGACCCCCTCCCCCCTCAGGGTCCTGCCCCTTCAGGTGTGTCCCAGGTAGACGCTGTTGAGCCTGTCGAGGTCGCTGGTGACTCTGGTGCTGCTGAGGGTGCTGAGCCTGGGGGTGCTGACTCTGGGGGTGCTGAGCGTGTGGGTGCTACGCCTGGGGGTGCTGAGCCTGGGGGTGCTGAGCTTGGGGGTGCTGAGTCTGGGGATACTACGACTGGGGGTGCTGAGCCTGGGGGTACTACGCCTGGAGGTGCTGAGCCTGGGGGTGCTGCGTCTGGGGGTGCTGAGCCTGGGGGTACTACGCCTGGAGGTGCTGAGCCTGGGGGTGCTACGCCTGGTGGTGCTGTGCCTGGCGGTTCACCGGGTGCTCCCTCTCGCCGGGAGCCACTCTCTCCCCAGGAGCTGCGTGAGTGGTTTGCCCGGCGCTGGAGGCGAGCTGCTGGAGCTGCTGGAGCTGGAGGTGCTGCGGGTACTGGAGGTTCTGTTGCTTCTGAGGGAGCTGGTGCCACGGGTCCCGGAGGTGCTCGTACTGGAAGTACTGGAGCTGCTGGACCTGCGGGTACTTCTGGAGCTGGAGTTGCTGCGGGTGTTGGCGCGGAGGCTACTGCTGTCGGTCCTGGAGGCGGTCCTGCTGGGGGTACTACTGGTGCTGCTGGGGGTTCTGGAGCTGGAGCTGCTACTGGTGCTGGTGCTGCCCCTGGGGTTGCTGGTGCTGTCCCTCCTGTGTCTGGAGTCGCCGCGCGGCCTCGGCCGTACTTCGTTCCGCTCCTTCAGCAGGTTCTTGGTCTCCCGCCTTCTACTGGTCCTCCTCCTCCCTTAGAGTGTCCACAGCCTGTCCCGTCGCAGTTACAGTTACAGCCGGCCTCCCCACTGCCTGCTCCGTCTCCCTACACTGGTCCTACTGGAGGTCTTGCTGAGCGTCGTGAGCCTGCGTCTCGCCCTGCGTCGCCTGTCCGTGCTGCTCGCACTAGTGGTCGCGGTTCGCGTCAGCGTCCTCCTCCTGTCCCTGGCACGCACCGGATGTCTCTGCGTCCGTCCACTGCTCCTCTGCGTGCCCCTTTGCCTTCTCCTCCTGAGTCTTCTCTTCCTACTCTTGCCGACCCGGAGTCGGACTCTCTTCGCGCTGCCAGTCCTACTGTCACGCGTCTCCTTGCTACGGTTGTCACTGACCCTTCCTTTGAGTCCATTGCTGCGTCTGCTCTAGTTGCTGAGCTCGTCGACTTTGCTGCTCGCTGTCGCCTAGACTACGTCGCCAGTCTTGTTGCTGAGTCTGAGTCTGTCTGTCCTCCGTCCGTCGGGGGTGAGTGTGCCCTTGGCACGGACGTCCTTGAGGACAGGCAGGAGGAGTTCCAGTGCTTGGCCGCTGCTTCACCTCATCTCGTGTCCGTACTGCTTACCCCTGAGGGAGACCCGGATGCACTTGACATCCCGACTCCGCGCTCTTACGCGGAGGCGATAGAGGGTCCCTACTCCTCTCAGTGGCAGGCAGCTATGGACGCAGAGATGGCTTCCTGGAAGTCCACAGGCACCTACGTTGACGCTGTTCCCCCTCCTGGGGCGAACATCGTCAGTGGCATGTGGATTTTCAGGGTGAAGCGACCGCCGGGTTCTCCGCCTGTCTTCAAGGCGCGTTACGTGGCTCGTGGCTTCAGTCAGCGGCAGGGAGTTGACTACTTTCAGACCTTCTCTCCCACCCCGAAGATGACCACTCTTCGGGTACTGCTGCACGTAGCTGCTCACCGTGACTACGAGCTACACTCTCTTGACTTCAGCACTGCTTTCTTGCAGGGCAGCCTGCACGAGGAGATCTGGCTGCGTCGCCCACCTGGCTTCACTGGGTCTTTTCCTCCTGGCACCCAGTGGAGCCTACGGCGGCCAGTCTACGGTCTCCGCCAGGCACCGCGTGAGTGGCACGACACACTGAGGACTACACTTGCGGCTCTTGGGTTTGCTCCCTCTACTGCCGACCCGTCGCTGTTTCTGCGCACCGACACTTCTTTGCCGCCGTTCTACATCCTCGTGTACGTCGACGACTTGGTCTTTGCCACAGCGGACACTGCTGGACTAGCCCACGTGAAGTCCGAGCTGCAGAAGAGACATACGTGCACTGACCTGGGTGAACTGCGCAGCTACCTTGGCTTGCAGATCACTCGGGACAGAGCACGCCGCACCATTACCCTGACTCAGTCACACATGGTGCAGCAGGTCCTTCAGCGCTTCGGCTTCACGTACTCCTCGCCTCAGGCCACTCCTCTGCCTACTCGCCACTCGCTCTCAGCTCTGCCTTCGGATGAGTCCGTAGAGTCGAGTGGCCCGTACCCAGAGCTTGTTGGCTGCCTCATGTACCTGATGACCTGCACACGACCTGACCTTGCATACCCTCTTAGCATTCTTGCACGCTATGTTGCTCCTGGGAGACACAGACCGGAGCACATGGCTGCAGCGAAGAGGGTGTTGCGCTACTTGTGCAGTACGTCGGGCATGGGGCTTGTGCTTGGAGGGCAGAGTCCAGTGGTCCTTACTGGGCACGCAGACGCTTCTTGGGCTGACGACCAGGCTACGCAGTGGTCGTCACAGGGTTACACCTTCAGCCTTGGTTCCGGCTCTGTTTCGTGGCGGGCTACTCGCTCGTCTTCTGTTCTCGGCTCCAGTTCTAAGGCTGAGATCTACGCAGGAGCCATGGCTGCACAGGAGCTTCGCTGGCTCACCTACCTGCTGACTGACCTCGGAGAGTTGCCTCGTTCTCCTCCAGTGCTGTACGTAGACAACAAGGCCATGCTGGCCTTGTGTCGGGAGCAGCGACTGGAGCACAGAACGAAGCACATTGCTCTCCGCTACTTTCTTGCTCGTGAGCTGCAGCAGCGTGGTCAGCTGCGTCTTGCGTACGTGGCCTCTGAGGCCAACACTGCTGATATCTTCACCAAGGCACTTGCGCCTTGTGACCATCAGCGCTTCTGTACTCAGCTGGGCCTTGTGCCTACCTTGCCTCACTTGCTCACCTCTTGACCTTGCTTGTACTGTTACATATATATATACCTGCTCTTGTTTGTCTAGCCCTTTTTATATATATGTGTACTCCTGCTTGTGAACTGGCCTTGTGGCCTTGAACTTGTGCTCGGAATGTGTGGTGACTTTGTGATCCACCCTGAGCTTGTTTTGCTTTGCTTTGCTTGACTGGTCTTGTGACCCCTTGTTCTCCCCCACTTTGCCTATGGGGGTGTGTCAGATTTATATGACATAGCTACTGTAGGCTATAGTGGGGTAGCACATATGGGGTACAGTTTTCTAGGGTTTGCTTCTTGTACCCAACTTTCACTTAGTCATTTCATTCCTCGTTTCTTCTCACTCACCACGGGGCATTTCGCCGCCGCTTTTTTTAATTGCGGGGCATTTCGCCGCCGCCGCAAGGCACTGTGTAACAAGTGGCACCTGCGCGGGAGCCAACGTGAAGCGCACGGGAGGCAGCGACATGCAGCAGCCGCGTGCTAGGGTGAACGTGGGCAGCGCAGGGGAGGACGTGGGCAGGACGTGGGGGACTCACGTGAGAAGGACGAAACGGAGATTTCGTTTCTTCACTGACTTTGGGGGATTTTCGCGTGGGACAGGTGGCGGAAGTCCAGAATTGAAGAAATAGGAATGTTACACGTGTGCAATTGTAATGAGTTGTACAAGTTGTAAATAGGAAAGTAGAATGCGGCTCGATGTGACATTTGAGCCATGATAGACTGCATTCACCACACCAAGATCCCAATAACGTGCCTCTTGCCTCCTCTCTCCCCTCGCTTTTCCCCCTCTCCTCCACCCCAAGTACTGGCGCTACAGTGTGAACGAGCATGACATGTGTGACATTCGAGCCATGATAGACTGTATTCACCACACCAAGATCCCAATGACGTGCCTCCTGCCTCCTCTCTCCCCCCCAACAGGTACTGGCGCTACAGTGTGAACGAGCATGGCATGCGTGATATCCGCGCTGTGATAGACTGCATCCACCACACCAAGATCCGCGACCTCGCCCCGCCTCCCCATCCCTCTCTCGTCCCTACTCCCCCCTCAATCACCCCTTTTCCTCCTAATGTCTCATTGGATTCACACGAGCAGCAGCAGCAGCCGCAGTGGCAGCAACCCATGAAACCTCAGCAGAGCCAGGAGCACCATCAGTGGCGCCAGCCCAGACCGTCGGCAGCACAAGATGCCATGGGCCTTGTAGACGGCTTCGGTCATTCAGAGAATGGCGTAGGCCTTGTGCACTGTGATTCTTCACTCCATCATGCTATGAATAGTAGCGGGTTTGATACAGGAGGAGGAGGAAGAGGTGCTGATACAATGTATCAGGACAAGCCACAAACGGATATTGGTTCTGGGTGGACACCTGGCAGCCAGACGATGCAGGATGGCGTGATGACGTAGCAGCCAGGCTGGCACGAGGTCAGGCCTGCTCCTGTGTCACTGATAGGCGCGCTAAGGGAGAGGCAAGAGGAGGAGTGGAGGGAGGGCGAGAGGAGGGAGGAAGAGAGGAGGGAGGAGGGAGGGGAGAAGAGTTGAGGGGAATGGGGAATGGAAGCGGAGCTGAAACCGCGAGTGCCACAGGAACATCAGCAGCGGCAGGGGGTGCCGTGGGCGAGGAGAAGCCGTACCATCTGCAGGCAGTGGCGCACAGCCTGGGAGGGGCAGCTATGATGATCTACCTCCTCACCCAGCTCATCAGGAGGCAGCCCCACCGCCTCTCCCGCCTCATCCTGCTCTCCCCCGCTGGGGAGTGCCCCCGGTTGGTAAGTTCCCTCCGATGCTGGTGAGCTTCCTCCCCTCCTTCGCTCTACCCTTTTGGGTCTCCCCTTCTTTCCTTCTCAGCCCTCAGGCTCACCTCTCATGACACCCTTCCGCTCCCTCCCTCCTTCCCTCCCTCTCCCCATAGGCTATTAGGAGAAGACCCCCCCATCTTTGACCTCATGCTCTTCCTCATGCCCTACATTGACTCGTGGCTCTCCCACTCCAAACTCACACCTCTATGCGCCACCTCCTTTCTTCTCGATTCCCACTTCCGTCTTCCTCTCGTCCCCTCAGGTTATCACGAGAAGACCCCTCTCCTATTCGACACTATGCTCTTCCTCATGCCCTACATCGACTCGTGGCTCTCCCACTCCGTGCCGGTCGTCTACATCCCCACCCAAGGCCTATGTCTGCTCTGCTCTGCTCATAAGGCGCCTCAAAGGTAGTCGTCTACATCCCCCACCCAGGGCCTACGCCTGCTCTTCAAATTACCACTTCCCCACCTTCCTCCTCACGCCACTCCACCCTTTTATGCCATGCGTAATTATGTCGATTCCACCCTTCCTGCCCTTTCCCCCATGTGCCCTACCCGTTCCTTTTGCCCCTCCCCTTCCCTCTCCTCACATGCTACCACGATAAGACCCCCCTCCTCTTCGACACCATGCTGTTCCTCATGCCATACATCGACTCGTGGCTCTCCCACTTAAAAAACACCTCCTCATCCCAACCCCTCCTCATACCCTTTCCTCCACAGGCTTCCACGAGAAGACCCCTCTCCTATTTGATGTCATGCTCTTTTTCATGGCCTACGTGGACTCGTCTGCATCCCCACCCAGGGCCTGCGCCTGCACTTTAATTGTTAAGCTACTAGCACAAGTGGTAGTTAGGTTTAATAGGGCCTAGGCTTAGTAGCCTAGGCCAAGAGGAAGTCGAGGTGGTTTGTGACAAGAGAGAGGAGAATGATTGTGTTTCACTATAGCACGAGAGTACATATAGCAAACAATTGAAGAGGTGCACCACCTACAAAGTTAATAACTACACTACAGCTAGAACTACATGCAGGTATAATAAGAATATAATTATGACATTAATAAGCTCGCTCAAGACTTTCTGAACCTCCCTGCATTGCACTGTCTGATGCAGGTATGTCTGTTGCATCGCAGGTACATTCGTGTGTGGGTGTGAGTGTGCAGATATGTGTGGGTGAAGGTACTTGCAGTGCGGTGTGGTTGCTTGAAACATTTCGACCATCTACATTCACACCCAGGGCCAGCGCCTGCTCTTCAAGAAGCTAGCCCAGGAGTTCCAGAACCTCCCCACCTTAGGTTGCCTCATGCAGGTTCGTTCTTAAAGGTGGTGCAGGTACGCCTGGTGCAAGTAGGCCTGGTGCAGGTACGCCTGGTGCAGGTGCATTGTTTGTGCTGTGCTAAAGGTCCCGTCCATCCACTTTTGAGGCGCCTCAAAAGAGGTCTCTATCCACCCACCCAGGGTCTGCGACTGTTCTTCAACAAGCTCGCTAAGTACTTCTAGAACCTTCCAGCCTTGATGTGTCTAGTGCATTTTGTGTATTGGCGTTGGTTCCTTCGCGTGTGTATTGCGTACATTATGCATACGTACATTTGGTACCAATTCTTCATCTCCCTCCCCTGCTCGTTACTTACACAAAGTTGCTCATCTCCAATATCATAGTAGGAGGTGACTCCTCCGATTGGGTAGGAGCACAGCGCCAGCTGCACTACAACATATACAACATACCTGGCATCGCGTACAACGTCATGAAGCACCTCGCTCTCACCAATCGCGAGCACAGATTCATCATGTTCGACTATGGCTCCCGGGCAGCTGCTCCTGCTGCTGCTTCTTGCGGAGATAACTCGTACAACGGGAGCTATTCTACGGGGTAGGCACGGGGTAGGAGTGATTGTAGCATTCGTTCCTTAGTCGTTCACTTGTGCTTTCTCTATTTGCGCACTCACGGGGAAAAACTGGCAAGAGTTTCACTAGCAAAGGTTCACAACAATGGTTGAACAAGGCACAGCAACAATGACTACATCAGATGCTAGCATGCAAGCTGGTCGACTGCCAGCGCAGCACGGTCGACCGCGTTCCAGCACGACAAGGTCGAACGCGCTCCAGCAGTGCAATGTTGCGGCCTGCCAACGCTGCAAGTCGACGGTGTGCCAACGCTGCAGCAAGGCGGCTGAAAAACGTTGTATGTGCAGGACAGCAGCGCACCCGCTTCGCAGTTGCTCGCATCTAGTTGGGGTGCTGTGCATCGTCACTTTTACAGCGCAGTCGCCACGCCGACCACGACCCACGTTTGCACCTGATCCTCTACGTCGACCTCGGGATACCACACCGAGGTCGGCTTTGCCAGATCCACCTGGGCGACTGTCGCGCTCCTCCGCTGAACCCCGTCACCCGGGTAACCTGGTCGACCGGGCAACCCAGCGACCAAAGGCTTCAGTACGTGCTCGGCGACCACCCAGGTCGACGATCACTAGCTCGGTGCCATGAAGTCGGCGCCTTCAGGTCGGCCTCGCCAGGTCGACCACCCGAGCTCGAGCGCCCTCTAGCTCTCCTCCCAGGTCGACGTCGGCGCCTCCCAAAGTCGGCTTCCACCCTCGTTGACCACCGGGTCAGGTCGGCCGTCAACTCCTCGTCGTTGGCGGCGTGGCAGTGGCCTTGTTGAAGGTCGGCGAACACGTCGACCTGCATGCCCAAGTCGGCGTCGCCCGCTGCAGCTGATCACCTGCACACCCTGCACACCCGATTGCGAAGTCGGCTCCGCCCAAGCGAATACAGGGCCAACCATAGCTCATGTAGACACTCCCCTGCCGCGTTCACGCTTGGGCCCCCAGCCCACACGGCAGCACTACTTGGAGAATAGCCCGCCGGCGTGCACACGGCACACAACACGCCGGTCACCGCACCAGCCATGCAACAGGGCATGACACCTACTGCTGCACGTCGTCTTCACCGACGCAGACGTCAGCCAGGCGCACCTGGCCGATTGCAACGGAGCACCGGTCGAAGGCCGGGTAGTGGAGCGCCTTCGTAAGGAAGTCGGCCGGCTGCTCGGTGGTCGGGATGTACTTCAGCGAATACTTCCCGCGCCTCACCATGTGCTGCAGCCCGGCGTAGCGTCGCTCAATGTGCTTGAGGTTGCCCGGCGTAGCGTCGCCCAGGCCCTCGGCGAGAGTGATGGCCGACTTGTTGTCCACCCGAAGGACGGTCGGCCTCCCGCCGTCCAGAAGCCGGAACTCTGCAAGGAGAAAGCGAAGGCAGCGTCCCTCCTTGCCAGCTTTGGTGGAGGCCACGTACCCCGACTCTGTCGACGACAGCGTTGCGCACTTGATGCGCTGGCTCGACCAGGAGACTGCGACCCCTCCGTAGACAAACACATAGCCGCCCGTGCTCTTCCAGTTCTGCTTGTCGCCGGCATCGTCGGCGTCCACATAGCCGACCAGCTTCAGCGACTCTGGTCCGCCGCCGAACTCCAGGGCGGTGTTACGAGTGTTGGCGAGGTAGGCGAGGCAGCGGTCGACCTCGCGCCAGTGCTGGTTGCTCCTCATCGTGAGGCCGTTTCCCAGCTTGCTGCAGGCGAAGGCGATGTCCGGCCTCGTCGTCGTCGCCGCGAACTGCAGGGAGCCGACCTTCTGCCGGTACTCCTCCTCCTCACGCTCCTGAGCCTCCTTGTCGTCAAAAGTAAGCTCGGCGTAGGCGTCGACGGAGACCGGCGTCTTCGGGGTGCGCCCGGTCTGCTCCTCGTCGATGAAACGCTTGCGCAGCTTGTCAGCGTAGTTCTGCTGATGCAGCCACATCTTTCTCGCCGACTTGTCGCGCACGATCTCCAGCCCGAGGTACTTCTCCACCGGCGAGATCCCTCGAAGCTCGAAGGTGGCCTCCAGCAGCTCCTTCAGCATCGCGGTGCTGCTGTTGGTGGCCAGCAGTTTGTCGACGTAGACCAGCACCCAGCAGGCCACTCCGTCATCGCCGACCTTGAAGTAGAGGGCCTCTTCGACCCTACTCTTCCTCTTGTCGGCGCCGACCAGCTCGTCGTTAAGCGCCTTGTACCACAGCAGCGGCATCTGCTTCAGCCCATACAGACTCTTCAGCAGCTTGCACACCCGGCTGGTCCCGTCGTCGTAGTAGTCCGGCTGGTACATGTGCACCACCCTGTCGAGCTTGCTCTGCAGGAAGGCGTTCTTCATGTCGAGCTGCATAAGATTGAGGTCGAGGACGGCGACGAGGCTTAAGAAGATCCTTGGAGTGACGTAGCTGCTCGCCGGCGCGTATGTCTCTTCACACCTGCGTGAAGCCCTTCACGACCAGCCTCGCCTTCTCTCAGGCGACCGTGTCATCGACGTGGTACTTGGTCATCAGAACCCACCGGTTCTTCATGATGTTCGCCCCGCGTGGGCGTTCGACCAGATCCCAGGTGCCCATGCCATGAGACTGCGGATCTCCTCGTCCATGGCGGCCTTCACTGCCTTGCCCTTCCAGCTCGCCAACGCCTCCTTTACCAACATCGTCGCGATGTCCCAGCAGTGCTCGGGGTCGGGATGCATGTCGGGGTCGAGCTCCGGTAGGTCGACGCCATCCTCGGCGTCGTTGTACAGCACGTCATCATCAGGGTCGTCGTACACCATGGTGAAGGCGGCTGGCGGGAGGCAGACGTGGTAGGTCAGGAACTCAGGTGGCCTCCGAAGTCGGCCTGAACCTTGCGGCCCAGGCTCTTTGGCGTTGACCTCCACTACGTCGCTGTCGGTGGACTCCGCTGCGGAGATAACTCTAGCAACGTGAGCTTGACTACGGGGTAGGCACGGGGTAGGAGTGATCTCTGCGTTCTTTCCTTAGGCGTTTGCTTGTGCTCTCACTACTTGCTCATTTACAGGGAGATTTGGCAAGAGTTTCACTGGCAAACGTTGACATCAATGGTTGACTATAGCAAAGCAACACTTTCTACATCAGGAGCTAGCATGCAAGAAGGTCGAATGCCAGCGCAGCACGGTCGACCGCGTTCCAGCACGACATCGTCGACCGCGCTCCAGCAGTGCAAAGTCGCGATCTACCAACGCTGCAAGTCGACGGCGGGCCAACGCTACAGCAAGGCGGCTGCACAACGTTGCACCCGCAGGACAGCACCGCACCCGCTTTGCAGGTGCTCGCAGTTGATTGGTGTGCTGTGCCTCATCACCTGCACAGCGCAGACGTCAAACCGACCACGTGCCCATGATTGCATATGATCCACCTACGTCGACCTCAGGATACCAACTCCGGGGTCGGCTTCGCCAGAACCACCTGGGCGAGTGCCGCGCACCTCCGCAGAACTTCGTCGCCTGGGTAACTTGGTCAATCTGGAAACCACCAGGTTGGCGCCGACTTCTTCGGAGAAAGTCGACCGAACGTTGTAAGTGCTCGTCGACTGCCCAGTTCGAGGACC